ATGTCAATATTGGCAATCAAAGTTGTTGTTTGGTGTTACTGAAACCCCGGAGATAACTTAACACCTCGGACTTCCTCCCCTACGACCGGGGTTTCATTAGATTTTATGAGTTAAATAATCTAATGCTTATGCAAGTTCAAATGATACCAGTAAGAGAGATATATAGGAATAGACTTTGTAGAAACGGTTACAGTCATTATCTGTGCTGCAGACGGTGCCGATACAAATTACTTGAAATCAAGTGGTCAAATTACAGCCCCCATCACGTGACAGGAGCTGTGAATTCCTGTACATCTCTGCAAACACTTGTGTCTGCTCTTTATAGAAAAAGGAAGATCATTTTCCCATGGTGAGTCCCCTGGCTTCAGCTTCTTCCTCAGGCATTGTTGATTAGAGCTGCCGGAGCCCGATGACACCTCTTCCAATAGAGAAGCCTTCAGCCCACTTTGATGCTGAGAGGAGCACATTCTCGAGAAAAGTCCTGTCTAAAATATACTATTCATACGCTTTGACAGTGCAAAACACACAACGTTTTTAGTGCATTTCAGTTTGACACTTTGTGTGATCGAGCAAGATAAAGTGAAAAAACCCCCATTCATTTTCTGTTACTGGAAGTTTCACAGACTAGCCCTTCTCCTAAAGGACTATAGGAAGAGAGAGGGAGAAAAAAGGAACCATCAAATAGCGGGACTACAGTAAGGTTAGAATTTTTCCTTGACAGCCTCCACTTCAAATTAACTTTGTATTAAAAAATACAAAGCGAGAGAGATAATGTGTTCTTGCTGGAGGTTAAACATAGATCGCACTCAATATCATAAACACACAATATTTTTTAAGGATAGTACTAGGCTATTTATTCCCCACGTTCTCTTTGTGACACATGTTCATCCTTCCTTCCAAGAACATTGGCACAGGACACTTTCTTTCATTATTCTACATACTTTTAATGGCATGGTAATATATTACAGAGGCAATATATAGACAGAAGAAAAACTTATTTGCCTGTAAAAAATGTAGAACCAAAAAAAAAAAAAAACAGAATGGGAAAAAAAGTTTCCGACAAATAACCAGCAACTCGAATAATAAGTGACATGTTGGTTTTTCAAGAGAGTCTGGAGAAAAAAAAAAAAAAAAAAAAAGAACAGAAAAAAAAAAAACAGAAAAAATAACCATGTATTGTGCCTAACCAGATGGGGATATAGAACTCAGATTGTGGAACTCTGTTACAAGTAAAAATAAACAAATAAATGTAGTGGAGTAAAGTAGGTTACACGATTAGCCTCTGAATTGTAGTGGAATAGAATCTACAAAGGGGCATAAAATGGAAATTACTCAAGAAAGCACAAGTTTCCTCGAAAAGTGTACTTGGAGTACAGTACTTGAGTAAATGTACTTAGTATGTTCCCAACTCTCGTTACCTTACCCCCCATGTGGCGCCCTTCTATGAGTGTTCCACAACCATGGATGTGATAATAGTAGAAAACCAGAGTAGGAGACTCAGGCCGGCCCGCCCCCTAAGCGGCGGGAAACTTACGCATGGTCATGACGTATGAGCGGAGAACTATGTAGTGTGTATCATTCTGCTGCTGAACTTAAATGACTACAAACTAAATGCGTGTCGCTCACACGCTACCTCAGTGTACTTCCGTGACCTGTTCCAACTCCTACCATCATAGCAGCGGTATTTTAAACCTGTTAAAATGTTGAAAGCCATAACTGTGTTTAGTTAGAAACTACATGTCGTAGTGATTTGCAAAGTTTAGGTTCTTCTGTTTATTTTTTTTTAAGTAGAGTTGAGACAATCAGGGGGTACACCCGTCATAATCGGGGGGCCCCCCATCCCGTTTATGCGCAAATACCGGTCGAATATTCCTCAATATGCAGTAAGCCTCCTATAACAATATTCCATGGATGCCCAATACAAGACAATCAAGTAGTCTATACATAAGGCAGCGTTTTTCAACCGGGCACCGTCTGGCGCTCAGGGTGGCGTCAGATCTTCTATATCTGACGTTCATATGAATAAATGAATACTCGACCGTTAAAGAGCCGTCTTTTTCGATTCTATGCGGAGAAATGCTTTTGCCACCAAAATAGAAGATATTTGGAATACATGTTGAATTTGTAAAAACGGACATAGTAAGCTTAAAACATGTTAGTGACCATGCAAGTGGCAAATAATTATAATTTGAGACCTACCCTCAAATTTAGCTGTTGAGGGTTTCAGGGGGCTCAGGTGTTAGATCAGGGGGTCCGGCCCCCCGGACCCCCCCGATTCGCACACTGGTAGGTGAATAAAAAAAAGAAAAACTCTAAAAGAATCGAATGAAATGTAGAGGAAACCTTAGCAAAAGTTTGCATTAAGAAAGCAGTGCAAGATGTAGTGTGGAGATGACTGTGTGCCACTACTCTTATTTAAAGCTGTAATAATGAAATGGCAATGCTGGTCATAACATGTATCTGTCTATCATTCTAAGGAAACCATAGAAGTTGATGAGGAGAAAACCTACCCTCAGTGCCCAGCTGGATCAGCGTGGGTTTGTAAAAGCCTAGTATAGGTGTATACTTTATCATTAATATGCAATAACAGTTCCTCTGCTACTGGCTTTAATCACTTACACTCAGAGTACATTGGTACTTGAAGTATATTTTGATGCTTATACTTTTGTACTTTTACTTGAATAACATTTTGAATGCAGGACTTTTACTTGAAACGGAGTATTCCTACACACTGGTACTTCTACTTTTACTCAAGTACAAGATCATAGTACTTCTCCCACCTCTGCTTACACTTTTATTCCACCCCTCTAAGTTATGTGTTTGTTTAGTTTTTCTTTTTTAAAGGGTGCAACATTAAGCTGTTTGACTGATCTTACATTTTAAACTTTTTCACCATGGGAGATAAATAAACTTGTCATAACATTTCTCCAGTTTCAAGTATGGTATTTTATGATAATCTGTGTGATTTCAACAGGGCAGGAGAAAGGGTGAGGAGTCCAGGAATAAGACGGTTGAGTTGACGTTGGGGATGAAAACATCCAAACCTGTAGTGTCGTTTGAACTTTCTTCGTGTTTTTGTAAGGACAGCGAATCCTGCATGTGAGTCACACACAGTTGGTTAAAACTGAAGATGTACTTTAAAAAGTTTAAAAATCTCATTATTTCAGGTCTAATCATCACAGTAATGGTGAATTATGGCCCCTGCACTGTTTTTGGCAAAAGCAGATACATCACTAAAGGACAAAGGCAGATCCACTCGTCTAATAATCCAATTTCTTTTGTTTTTAGGTGCAAAAATAGGCTTTTTGACTCTCCATCACCACTCTGTCTTTCACCAGCAACTGCTGCAGCACAAACACAGATGCTGAGCACAGAGCCCGAGGCCACGGCGCTGGTGAGTCACACTCATACCGACGTGTGTGAATGGGGCTAAGTGAACGTTCATTCAGTATTAAAAAAAAAAAGAAAAAGAACCGCTTTCATTTGACGTCATTGGTCTTAATCACTCAATTATAGCAATTTCCAGAAGGTAACTGTGTTTTATCTTCACCCTGTCTGCCTCCAGATAGCATGCAGGCAGCTGACTGATGGGAACGAGGCGGCCTCTCTCAGGGACCAATGTGAGATCATTCACACACTTTTAGTTATTCCCTCTCAATCATTTGTGCGTACAATACATGAATCATACTCTGCACGTGTGTGATGGTGTATTCAGGTTGTTTTACAATACTCCAAAGCTATACGATAACACAAGGACAAACAAGATCATTGCAAGTGTGAGGACAGAAGTATATAGACTTGACGTGAAAATAGCTTTCATACTGTGGTGTTGATTGGTCCTGATCCCAACCAGCGGTGGTTAAGGATAATGTAGTGCTGATGTGGTGTTTCTCTCTCAGCAGGAAGGGGGTAAACCTGGAGCTATAACAGTATAGAATATTATAGCTACAGCTGCTGCAACTTATTCGATAAGTTATCTCAGTTTTCTTTAATCGATTGGTCATTTTTTAAAGATTTCTTCATGATGAACGCTGTCGTTTTCTTATTAAGTGCATCTCTATTAAACACAATATTTAAAATGGTGCTTTTGCATGCTTCTTTATGGGGGAACTCAGTTTTACAGATCTGTTCGACATATTTTTGGTCACAGACGCAGGGCGCACTAGATGCAGCTTTAGATTACAATATCCTGCTGTATGTCTAAAGACTGATAGTTGACACAATGCTCACCATTCATTTAGTAGGTTCTTCTATTGCTTTTGTTTATATCACATCAATTTCATAAGCAGTCATCTTGATTATTGTAGGTGTTCTACCTTTTTTATTTATATATTTCGAAAGAAGAGTATGTAATGTGATTGAAAGGAACTTAATACAACTTTTCTTAAGATCATCAACAATGAAACACAACATGTGAATAAGTCTGAGCTAGCTTTACACTTAATAAATGCAATTGCTTTAATTATGGACTACACAAATGACCAAAGACTGTAAATAAGCTTCTGAAACATTAGGGAAAATACAATAACGACATAATACATGCACTGTTAGACGGATAATTACAACTGTTTTTTGTGTTTTTCTTTGATAAAATTCAAATAAAGATTTCATAATTAAAGGAGAACCGTGATTGGATTAAGTCCACATTACAGGATCATTGAAGTAATTATACAGTGAAGTTATGAATCCTTAATGAAGAAATGATTTGCCTTTATGACAGTACAATCCAGCCCACACACACACACCTCCACTCATGGGGAGCCTGCGGGAGTGTGTGTGTGCAGTCACAGCCAGAGAGTGAACATGAGTCAGCCTCATAGTACAACTTATTATGAGTGGGCCTCACTGGGAGCTAAATGGATAACTCATAGAGCGGCTTTTTTGCAGGAGACTGTCTGGGCTACCAAATAGATGTATTGATATATGTTATGCGAGTCCCTGCTTACTCTGAGCCATGCTATTAAGGCTTGGAATTTGAAACATATTTCACCAAAGTGGAATTTAAGTTTAAACCATGTCATTTAGACTCTGTTCGAAAAGGGCTTGAAATTGACAATAAAAAAAGACAAAATGACATAGCAAAAAAATCACAAAATAATATTGAATATTGGCGATGTACAGTATGGATCAAATATAATGCTGTGTTTTACATTGCATACTAATAGTGCTATTCTTACAAAAAAAGTTATATTTTTGTTTGTGAAATGTTAAAAAGGGAAATCTTCTTCTTGAATATTTTTAATTCAATTCAAACATATAAGGGTGTCAGCATTGTCAACATGGAAATAACCATTTCAGTTTAATTGGACTTTTTCCTGATTGTTCTTTTTTCCTAGCTCCTCTGCCAATACTAACACTGAAAGGGACTGTAAGTTTGGAACGCTCCGACCCCAGAAGGCCCCCATCAGTTCATGCATCCATCACTGTAAGTTTTATTGGAAATTCACCAAATATCTGCCATTTGTTATCTTTCTCTTGCTACATGTACTTCTTCTCCACTTCATTTTGCAAGCCAATATTTGTATTCTACTACATTTATTTAACACTCATAGTTGCTAGCTTCTTTGTACATATACCCAACACCTGGCATGTTGCAATACTTAACTGTACTTTACTTATTATTTTAAAAGTAACTCAAATTGGCTTTACCCTGAGAAACACTTAAATATGTATTTGTTGGAAAGAAAAACATAATAGTGTATATAATAACACCATATTACTGCTAAAATATCCAATCTGTATACTGAGTAATTTAATTTGTTTTCCTTTTAGAACTATTCTTGTAATGGGATATTTTAAGAACTTGGCATGTTGACTTTAAATAAAGGATCTGAGTACTTCTTGTGGCAGTAATTGCAAAGGGAAATAAGACATTGGGATTTCTAGTTAGATAAATTCCTTGTTCGTTTGTATTTTAGGGGATTTGTTAGACAGTTAGAACATTCAGGATCTTACCAGACCAATCCTTTAAGGCACATTTAGATTGCAGTTAGTGGATATGACCACTAGATGTAGATGTTGATCTATTTCTAGCAGTGTTCACCCTAAGCAAATGCTAAGTGTGCTGAGATTTTATTTCTTCCAGGGAACAGCCTCAGTATCAGCTGCTGATCAGAATGAAGCCCCCGGAATGAGCCTGAATTTGTCTAAAGAGGTCCTACTATATATTTTGTCCTCTGTATAATTACTCCAGACATTACTAAACTCTATGTTACCATTTTGCCTGTGTCAAATGTATGTTGTGTTTTCTTTAGGGGAAAAAAAGGCAGTATTACCAAGACCTGTGCCTGCAGGTAGAAGAAAGGAAACAACAGGTGGAAAAGGAGAGACAGAAAAAGGCTGTTGACGATCAAAAAGTTAGTTATTTTAGTTTTGTAAAGTATAAATACTTATAATACAGTATTGCATTTTGCCCTGTAGTTTTATGATCACTTTGATAGATTAGTAATTCATGTTTGTGTCACATTTTCCCAACATCTGCAGCACAATGAGACCCAGCAGCAAACCTGGGGGATGCCAAGAAGTGGTGCCCAAAACCACCAGCAGGGTACAGTGAAACGGAGCAGAAACCTCGACACTGCTGGGATTTTACCCCAGGAGCAGGTGAACAATGCACCGTTTACTGTAACAAAAGCCTAGTGTTCACAGAATGTCTTCTGATCGCGCTGGCTTAGAAAAAAAGGAACTAAGAGAGTCTGTAGCCACACACATATTTTGTAACAAATGAGGATTGTGGTTCTTGTGGTAAACAAAACTGCTCCTGTAGTCCTTGAATTTATAAGGAAAAATAGGGAAAAAGTGATTTCCTCCCATTGAGACTTGAGACTCCTGCATAGCTTGCTCACCCCAAAATATGTTTTGAATTAAACTATCTTTCTGACCTTCTTTCCACACATAGTATTAGTCGAGTTGCAGGTGAAAGTCAAAACCTCTGTCTGTGGATCCTAACAGTAGGAGCCTGTCAGACTCTAAACGAGTTGTGTGAAACCTGAGTTTGGGTCCTGGGCCAGCATAACATTACAGCCTGCTACTTTGGCCGGCTCTTCTGAATGCTGCCTTTGTTTCCAGATCCGTGATAGAGGCTTCACTGGGACCCCCTTCCACCGCCTCTGAAATGAAGACCATAACATCCCCGAACTGAGGGCTACGGAGCAGACAGGCAAAAAGTAATCTCTCTGCAGACATCGGATATTTGGGCTGTTTCAGCAGCAAATTCTGATGGTTGCAAAGAATTACAGAATGTAAATAAACTTCAACCGAAAAGTCTAAAATGTGAACAACCCGAGAACTCTAAATCCAAGAGAAGCCTTCATTGATTTTTAATAAGGAATACATATAAGTCATTTAAAGCAAGTCCAAGTCGCCTCTTAATTTTACATAGACACTCAAAAAAGACATATTTAAATAACATAATCATACCATTGTCACTAGAAAGTACAATCTTGCAGCAGTTTAGATAAAGTCCAGTCCTCAAGGAACGGTTTGGCATTTTGATGAGATGAGAAGATTGATACCCCTCTCAAGAGTTATTCATCTTATCATCAACTCCCATCAAGCAAGCGAAGAGGAGCATCATTTCCCAAAAATGTCCAACTATTCCTATTAATTCAAAATTGAATATTAAGAGTTCTAATGTTAGGAGGAATAGGAAATGAAATCAGAAACCCTATTTTACAAGGCAACTGTGAGCTTGACTGGAACAACATTGAAACATGAGTTTTAAAGTTGTGTTTCATAATAGTCACGACACAAACTCTGCAAAGATTGATCCTGCTTTGCTTGAAAGTTTGAGATGACATCAGCCTACACAGGTCAGTGAGCGTTGTGTTTACTGATTTAAATCCTACTGTCGCCCTGAATATGTTGTTACTGTAATTGAGTCGTACATACACACAGCCTACATACAGTTATAAACAGCCATATTGTTTGAATGACAAATTTCTCCCTAAAGTTTCCCATTCCAGGTTATCTCCAGATAATTATACAGTGAAAAAAGGATGAATCATCTTCATGTAATTGCATGGCTCAGTTAGTGTGACGTGAGCAAGCTCTTAATGGAAACAGTTTACTCATACGCTGTGTGCATGTATTACGTTTATACAGACCAAAGGGCTTTATTATGGAGGGCAGCAGCAGCTCTCCTCTTCAGTAGGGGGTAATTATGATGTAGGGACAGTGAAATACCAATGGTTAGAGCGCAGGCTGGCGAGGTTGGTAATTATAACATAAAGCACTTAATTCTACAGAAGATGTATCTTTTGGGTCATTGTTGCAGCACTTAACAATTACACACTAAAAGCAGAAACAACTATTCAACATATTATAACTTTTTCTGAGCTTTTACCAACTAGTGAATTATGGTTGTTTAGTTGGGTGAAAGAAGAGTATCAGTTTTAAAGGTATTTCATAAATTCATTAATTTCCTCTTCTGGGTCATCTGACGTGTTTCACTGAATTACAAATATGGGAAACATTCCACTTCATTTTGCATGACCAGCATGAAAGATCCAAACAGCAGCAGTTAGCTCGGGTCAAGGAAGGTCAGAGTTAATAGTCGATTACATCAACAAGAGGGGATTTAGCATTTGGCTCAAGGGCATTAAAGAGACTGAAGTAAATTAGGGCTGAAGGATGTCTAACTCTGGCTTGACCATGTGTGTCATATCAGGTGGGTGAAAAATCATTACCCATGCTGTTAAGTCACTGCAATAAAGCTTATATGGCTCCTATATTCAGTGGTAACCTCACTAAAGCCTTCTTTATACTTAGTCATTTATCATTATTAAACTCCTAGTTTATTAGTTATATTCTCAATAGGATCTATTGATACTCCCTGTAATATATTAATGTATGTATTATTTAATTAAAGGGAAACATGTGGTTTGGATTGTTTTAAGTGGGGTTGTATGAGGTACTAATCCATAGTCAGTGCATTACCCATGCTTTCTTCATAATCACCAGACTACATTGACAAAAACAGACATTTTAGCTCTTATAACAATGGGATTGCTATAGTCTACTGCTGCCTCGACTTGTTAGTTGTTTATTTTGTGACACTGTTTTTATGATTAACCAAAGTAACACAATAGCTAATACATGCTTAGCGATTGTTACCATAGCCTGAATCTTACAAAGTTATGCATCACAAATTATTATTCAAATTATAAAATTCTGAAATGGACCAAGGACCATTATACATTATAAGGACTTTCATTTTTGGTAACCTACTTGTGTAGATTTGGAAGCTTATACTTTGTACAATTTTGAAAACACTACTATCATTTGTGACAGAGTTTGTATTACTCCCTAAACTAAGTGAAGGATCTGAGTGATTCTCTAGCTGCTGACCATATTGTAAAGTAGTGAGGATGTAAATGGTTAATCTAACGGACTATGCAGCGTTCCGTGGTGACGTCACACGCTGGTTTCAGCTGCTTTGGGTCGCAGCTCGTATCAGGAGAAGAAGTTAGCTAGTACAAACTACTCTACAACTTTTACCCATCAGATCACCAGCTGAAACCACACGAACATCTTTAAAATGGGCAACTGTCAAGTAGGTACCATTGTCTTAACACAGTGTGCTACTCACTCTTTGGTTAGAGACGATCATTAACGGTTTGCAGTTTAGACTTAGCTATAGCCTACACGTGTAAAGAGTAGTTTCGACTTGACAAATGTAACCAATAATAAAATGTAGGTTAGATGTTTGATTCAGGTGTCAATTTCTAATAGAATACCGAATGTATTGCTTTTTTCTCATCATTGATCGAGCACTGTTTCCAGACAATCTCTGCGCACATCATATACTCTACATCGCGATTAATATCCTACTATTTCAACTGATATTCAGCACTATGGTGTCAGATTCATATTTGTCGGTGTTTCTTTAAATGTAAACGTTGGTGCTGACACCGTGTGACAGACAGCAGAGTCTGGGTTTACGCAGTAGAAGGGGCCACTCCTCTGCGGAATTCATCACAGCTCCGTTAGACGAGTGTGTGTGTGTGTGTGTGTGTGTGTGTGTGTGTGTGTGTGTGTGTGTGTGTGTGTGTGTGTGTGTGTGTGTGTGTGTGTGTAAATAAATGAGCAGGGCTCTGTATGTAAGTCAGCAGTAGGCCTACTGCAAGGATGGGGGGAGGGTGTCCATCATGATTGCCAGATCTGTGTCTTTCTGTGCTCATTTATCTATTGATTCACCTCATTGGCAACTTCAATAATACTAAGTGGCAAAGAATGAATGACATTTTCGTTACTTGTGGGTTATCTGTTGCCACTTTTTATTGTTTTTTTCAGACTCTAAATACGCAATGTTTTTGTTTTTGTCAGACTCTCTAAATAACCCTAATCCCTAGGAATAATGTTTGTTATTTTGAGAAATGGAAAAAGTTAATGTGGAGGAGCCAGCTACCCGCTATAAAAAAGTGGCGACAGATAACCCTAGTACCCCATTTTCCAACATTATCATTACCTAACAAACAATAAATAAAATTCTATTGAAGTTTTGGTGAGGTCAAACATTCTGTGAAGATTTTGTCAATCGTTTACTTTACATCCTCTCGTAAAAAGTTGATTCAACTCTTTAATGTGAGGGATATGCCACTAGAACCTCCTATCAGTCCCCTGCTGGCCCCTGGCCCACACTATGGAAACTGCCAGTAATTCATGTGGCCCCCACCAAGTTTGTTTAAGACTTCTGGCCCCGAAATTCCTCCACCCAAGCATTGTGTCATCGACCTCCCCTCCCCCATATGACAGCTGCTCCTGCATTGCTATCACAAACCACTCTGATCCTCAATTACGGAAACAATGATAAGTTTGATAAGTACATTATTATAAGAATCTGTTTATAGATTTTCACTTCGCATGTATACCAATCTTTTGTTATTCCCTCAGCCAACAATCATGCCCTATGAGGATTTTGATGTCGTTGCTGACATCAAGGCCATCCGCAAAGCCTGCAAAGGGTTTGGTAAGATGGAAAGATTGAATTGAATTATTGTAATGTAACTGTAAGACATTGTTTGTCCTTGTACCGCATCTGTTTTATTTTCTCTATAGGAACTGATGAGCAGGCCATCATTGACATCTTGGCAGACCGCAGTGCAGATCAGCGTCAGGAAATCAAAAACGCATATTTTGAGAAGTATGATGATGTGAGTGTCATTCAGTTATTCACAGAAATGGACCACTTACATTTGTATTTGGAATATTCTGTTTCTGCCCTCTTCCACCAATAACAATTACATTCTCTCTTCCTCTAATAGGAGTTGGTGGATGTGTTGAAGAAGGAGCTGGCAGGGAGCTTTGAGAACGCCATCCTCGCCATGTTGGACCTGCCCATAGTCTTCGCTGTGAAGGAGCTGAGGAAGGCCATGAAGGGGGCGGGCACTGATGAAGACACCCTGGTGGAGATCCTCTGCACGGCCACCAACGCTGTCAGTCACAAGTCAAAAACAGTTCAACTCATTTATTAATTAATCATCAACAATATGTTTGGCATTATGTCCAAATTATTTTCAGGCCCTATACAATAATTAAATAAGCATATGATGTTTTTACTGTAAAATATTCTAGATTTGTGTTCATTCTATATAATTGTTTCCCATAGGACATCGCCATGTTCAAGGAATACTACTTTCAAGGTAAGCCATTTTATACAATTACCTTAGTTTACTTGATGCCACATCCATCACATCTGTTTTTTTGTTATATGTTTTTTAATATTTTATGTAGCTTATTAATCTTACTTTGCAATTGTTTAACCTCATTACTTAATGTCACTTTTTCCCTTCCTTGTATTGTGAACCCTGGAGGAAATGGCTATGGGTGACTCATTGGGACCTACATAGGGCTAAAGTACAGTACTATTCTGGAACTTTTAGCCGTGTAGTTTCCAGTCACACTTTGTTTAATCAAGGCCCATCCTGCTGCAGCTTCCTGTTCAACATAATAACAGCTCTGACAGATGTACCGTAGACTGTAACAAGTTATTTATCCTTTCATTATTTAAGGGTTACTTAGCCATGAAGGAGGGAATGCTATCATTCTTTGAAATATACCAAAAATAATAGTTTCTCAATGGCACCTTCTAGTAGGCTATGGTATTCTGAAAAGTTAAAGATTAAGCTAGTGTTTGATTGGCTGTGGCAGAGAACCGTTTGGTGCTTCTAGTTGCAAGTTAGCTTATCAGGTTGTTTGCTATTTGTCATTAGCTATCATTTTGGCTAACCTTGGTGCTTTGCTCTGGCCAGATACAACATTTAGCATTTTGCTAACCAAGCTAGCCACAATATTTGAAGTTTTTTTTACTGTTTTCTTGTAGACTCCATGTGTAGGTTCACTAGAATAAATAACCTGCTGTACCACCTGGGGGGAATTTTATTTTCCTCTCATGTGATAGTTCCTTACTGGCACTAATGAGTAAACTATTGGCTGCCCTTTATATAGGGAGTAGTAAATAAAGAATCAAAGTTGTAACACAGAACCTAGTCCTTATCCCCTCTTTTGTAAATCCAATAGTTGATTTTGTCAATGTACTGATTCTTCAACAGTACCCTTAGACTAGGTAACCTTTTGGAATCTTATTGTATTCTGATTTGTAATCATTATTATTATTCTTTAAGTTGCTGTACATTCTCAGTTAACATTCCAATTTGGCATCAGTGAAGTGTAAAATATGCTTTCTTGAATCAAAACTGGTATAACTGTCATAAAGGTGGGAATCCATCATTAACGAAGCTAAGAACATCACATGAACATACAGTATACTGGTGTTTTAAGAAGGAAATCAGATATACTTTGAACTAAGCTGGTTAAGGGAACATGGGTACACAAACCAACTTTCATTACAAATTAAACAGATGTTGCAGTAAACATGCCAAACTTTTTGGCACGATAGTCTCTAGGGCTGGGCTTGTCTAAACACTGAGGCTTGAATTAAACTTGCTTTATTTGATCTTTACTTTACAATGTGTCTTTCAGTGCATGAGCGTGATCTTGAAGCAGATATCGAAGGGGAGACTAGCGGGGACGTAAGAAACCTGCTCACAGCTCTGATGCAGGTAAGAGGCCATGAGTTTCTACTCCACTCGAGTAACTAAACTCCTTACGTCTGCTGTAGGACTGAAATTGAGCTCACTCTCCCTTTCCCTAGCAGTCCCTCTCCCTACACACACACACACAGACACACACACACACACACACACACACACACACACACACACACACACACACACACACACACACACACACACACACACACACACACACACTGGCCACAATCCAGACCTCCTCTCATAAGTGAAACGCAGGCCAGATACAGTTACTGAAGGCCTCAGCAGAAGTCATCTTGCTTTTTTGTCTTCCAGGGCGACAGAGACGAGAGTTACGAGGTGGATGAGGAGTTGGCCGAGTCGGATGCTACCTGCCTGTTTGAGGTACTTCAAATATAATTCATTATATCCTCATGGCAGATTACCATAACTCATCCTGAATATTATCATTGATATTTTCCGTTTGTGATTCAGGCTGGTGAGGGCTCCTTTGGGACAGATGAGTCCACTTTCAGCTACGTTCTGGCCTCCAGAAATTACCTGCAGCTCCAGGCCACCTTCAAGATATATGAGCAGGTAGGTTAAGGTGTCACTCTGTCCATAGATAGCTGCAGTGATATTGCATATCAGTTTATATAACCTGAATTCTAATCTTCAGCCAGCAGGTGAATTGATCCGGGGTGGTGTCTTTACATTACCCTTGAGAAATGTTGTTGCTTCTCATGCACGTGCAGTCAGACTTTTTCTAGGGGCTTTAAACAAGTAGCAACCTTCTATTAGAGGATTAGAGGCAATTGTAGACCTGGAAAAAGAAACCACTCATTCCCAGTGCTTTGATTTGACTAGCAATTTTCTCTCCATAGCTTTGTGGAACTGAAATCCTGGATGTCATTGAGAATGAGACTTCCGGGACACTTAAGAAATGCTTCAAAGCTCTTGGTAAGTAAATAATAAAGTGTTAATTGTCAAAATATGTCCTCAAATCTGATATCTTAATTATTGTATTTATTTATTTTATTTATTTTATTTATTTATTTTATTTCCTCCCCACAGTAAGAGTTGCTAAGAACCCTCAGCTCTACTTTGCCAGACGTTTGAATGCTGCGATGAAAGGAGCGGGCACTGACGAGGACACCCTTATTCGCATCATCGTGGTTCGCTCTGAGGTAATTGCATGAAAAGATCAACATATAAGTACAGATAAATAAATTGCTGTCTCTCGTACAGCATATGTGACATTATTTTATTGTATTGCAAAGTGCAAAGTTGCAGAATCACTATACTAAGTGCGAACCAAGTTTGGTAAGGGAGAAGAAAAGAATAAGCCAAAATAAGTTCAAAGTAAAAATGAGGGGAATGTAAAACATGTGTTTTCTTGTTGCCAACAGTATGACTTGGAGACCATCAAAGAAATGTACCTGGAGAAGTACGATGTGTCTCTGAAGGAGGCCATAAAGGACGAGTGCGGCGGTGATTTTAAACGTCTCCTCGTGGCCATCTGCCACTAAAAGTCTGAGAGTTAGGCAGGGTGGATTTTGAAAACAGTCAGAGACAACTGTTTATACTGAGGGCGCAGCTGTTTTCTGTCTAACTAACTAACTCAGTCTGTCCATGTGACATTACAGTATGTAGGGAGCAGGAGGGTGAAAGTGATAGAATAATCAGCTAATGTGATGTCTAAAATCTGAGTTACGGTGAATTTGTGTGGCTCTCTTTTAAACTTTTTCAACAATCATTTATACCGAAATTGGCATGAACTCATCTGTCTGTGTCCGTCAATTACTGCCCATTTCTTAGTCAACTTTTAGCTCCAGTTCTTTACACTTTGACCAGCATTTACACAGTCAGTTAAAGTCACTGTAAACAAGCACCAATTTATACCTTTCCAGGAGCCAACTGTAGTCACACTGATGCAATTACACTATATTTGATCAGGTTGTGTAAGGCTTGATAGAGTAATCACATTGTAAACATGTTTGTACATTGGGAAAAATCTAATCTAGCCTCAGCATTTCTTTCTGCTGCTGCGTTTACTAATATAAAAAGACAATAGTGTTACATTATTACCTTTGTTTAAGTATTAATCTTCGTTTGAATCCAATATTTCTTTATTTGTGTTCATCTAAAACTTTCACCCTCTATGCCCCAAACTCAGTGACTTAACTGATGTTACCACTTATGCAATCAGTCCATGTGTTTGTGCTTTTTAAAGAAGAAATGTGAAAGTTGGAAATGAAGGAATCTTAGCTGGTAGCATGTGAGGTGAATGGAATTATTGATTTTCTGATTTGCAGAGGAGAATATATATTTTAACAGATGCTTATTGAAGGATACATATTGCATTTTTATTATCTACAACTAGAAAACACTTGAAAAATCCAAATACACCTCACCTTGTTATGTATATTTTTTTTGTATTTTGCGACTAACAAATATATTTAGTTTACGGTTTTAGGTAGGCCAGAGGTTATATGTGAAGAAACCTGTAAGAAGCATTGAACATCTGGACAGTCTGTGTCATTATGTGTCTATATAAGGCAGCTGAGATCTGTTAAAATGACCACTATTGTAAACATCAACAGGTAGAGTCGTCTGACTAGAGCAGGGGTGTTAAACTCAATTTCATCGTGGGCAACATTAGCATTATGGTTGCACACAAAGGGCCAGTTGTAACTTTAAGACTATATAAATATATAAAATAATGTATTATATTACATTATTGCCTCTGCATTGGATTATTATCGGATAGGGTAATAACTTCATAATTAACTACGTCTGAAGGCAAAAGTCTATGGCAAATAATTGCAAGTCTCTTCAGTGTGCATGTCACAAAATGAGATGCATTGTGGGACATGTAGTTTATTGGCAACGCGCTTCTGTAAAGCGGCATGTAACCATATAATAAACGTATTATATTCTTTGCAAGCTCTTGCGGGCCACATAAAATGAAGTCGCAGGCCGGATTTGGCCCCCGGGCCTTGAGTTTGAC